TTCTGTGCACTGCGTCCATTTTAATATCTTCAAATCTCGCCTAAATGTAAAAATAAGAAAAAAATAAAATTGAAGATAATGGTACATTATTTCTCGTTGCTGTTATTGAAGATTATCAATAGTGATGACAATTAGACAGATTTTCATGCAAATAAAAATAAGCCGCGATTGTTTTACCTACGAAAATATTGTACAAAGCACTGTACTTTCAATATTTTGTACATTTATTCATATTATGATTATTATTTAAATTAAGAATCTACAGTCTAATAACTATGCGTAATTCATGTTTTTATAAACAAAACTGTAAATATATCTATAGATAAAAATTTGCTTAATCTATTAAATATAATATTATAGATATTATAGATATTATTACATATTATGACAATTACTGTATGTTAAACATTTTATATATTTCTGTGTATTTCATATCTATTTTTGCACTTTAAAATTCCTCATAAATATAAAAATAAAAAGAGACTAAAAGAAATAATTTATAATAATATCTTGTAATTATCTAAAACTATCATGCATAACATCTTTCTTGAGATTTTTATTATCTTTGAAATTATATCAAATTATTTGCAAGAAAATTTTAGTTTCATTAACTTTATTATTTTTAATATAATATAAAATATAAAAATATGTCGAATAGACAAATAGAAATTTTCTGCATAATGCAAGATTCAATGCTTGAAATCTCACAATATCACACAAAATTACTTCCAAAATTTAATTGTAATTTAAAAATAAAGTGCACAAAAATCTTTCGTTAACAAGATAATTTTAATAGGAAATTTCTGTACGGCACAGATAAAAGTACCAATAACTTTCGAGAGTTTTCACTGGAATCGCGATAAAACAACATGGTTCAACGGTTGCGTTCTATTTTGATTATCAGCGAGCATTTTGAAAGTAATCTCTTTATCTAGATTGTTAACAAGTGCAACTGATAACGATGGACAATAAAGTGCCGCAATTATGGAATTACGCTTTGTTAACGTCCGACAGTGGATTAAAAATATGAAGTACAAACTGTGGTAGAACGATGTACTGCCATTGATAAAACAGAATTCCATGAACAGAGCTTCTTTACTTCGCCGATCTATTTATATCTAAATCTTACATGTATTTTCTACAAGAGATACGCGTATATGTGTGTAATTATTAGTGATAACGAACTGAGAGCTATAAAAATTGTGTATGCTTGAGTTTTATAAATTTAATTTAATATATTAATTTTAATTATTATATACGCTTTATTTTTAAATTGATATGTATCGTGTATCTTTGGATAAATAACTTTATTAAATTTTTACTTGTATTTTACTTGTATGGCCAAATTAAATGATCTACGTGGACAGATCTCTGAAGCGATTTTTATGAATCTTTTGATGTGAAATGATTTTATATAAATTTTTTGAAATTACTTTAGTTTCTATGTATATGCAACGACTCTCTTATCGAACGAGAAAACGATGAAAATTATCCATATTTTGGAAAAATCGCAAAAATAATTCAACTTTCATTTCAAAATGTGATAGTTTTATAGTTTTCACAAAACTGAGTTCGTTTCTTTCAAAGATACTTTTACATCAGTTTGAAAGGATCCTAAGTAAAGACATCTTTCTTCTCGAATTCAAATGTCTTTATCGACAGTAAAAATATTCTCTTCCTAGAGATTCTCTAACGATAACGATTCTCTGAACGATAACGATTCTTTGTCATACGACTTCTTTTTTACGAAATTAATAAAAATTTAACATAACGAAAATACGGAAATTTTCTGGAGCAGCTGTACATAACTTTAACAAGTCATACAAATAAATAGTAAAGGAAATACAAAACTGTCTTAATATTTGTTAATAGTAATTTATTTTTTTTATAGTAAATGATATTAATATATAATAACTAACATTTTAGTATAGTAAACAAGTTTATCGACGAATATAGCATTCTATAATAGATTCTATAATAGAAGTTAAATGATTTGCAATCACGTTTGAGGAATATCTTCGATAGATATCCATATTTTTATTGTTTTCATTTTGTTCATACAGATTCATAAAATTGACCATTGCAGAAAATGACTCATATTGAAAACGTTTATCAAGGAAGATTTATTGTAAAATATCAACACTTTAGTAGAACAAATATTCTGATTCTATTTTCATTAAATTGATTGTGAAAAGTTATGTTTTGAACTCCATTGTGCCATATATTATTGTATACTCTTTTGTGATATCATGTTAAAAATTGAAGAGTAAAAGAATTTGAAAAATGCAGATCTGGATAAAATAATAATATCGATATGATTTTTATCTGGGCGAAAACTGCGTACGATGCATAAAATGATCAAAAATTTAAAAAAAACTTATTGGTTTTATTACGAATGTTTACTATTTCATTGTTACGATTCAGAATCTCAAATA